GTAAGGTCTTTTCCGGTCATAGATCACATATTCATGGCCGAAAACAACTAGATTTGGCGTTTCTTTGGCTGTTTCATGGCCAAAAATGTGGCCGTGAAACAGCCACAAATTTGGCCTTAAAAGGCCAAATATTTGGCTGTGAAATGGCGCAGCCAAAGATCTAGCCTTCTCACGGCCAAATCTGTGGTCGTTTCACGCCATGGATTTGTTATCCATGGCCATTTCCAGCTTTGCCGACGCACTGCCGACCATATGAGGCCAATCGTGCGTCATTTCGTCAACTGTCGGTAGTGGCTGGCTGCCGGCAATAGTTGGTGGTGGGTGGGGGTGATTTTGCTACAAATTAAAGTTTTACATGGCTCAAGTGTTTTAGCAAAATTTCAAATGCAGGGGGTTAAAAAAGTTCAAAAAATATTATTATATCAATATTTAAAAATGATTTAGTAATCTATATAACATACCCGCCCATTTATCCTCTCAACTAAACATATTATTCATCAATTTATTCGAACCAACCAAATATATTTTTTAAACATTCACAGTAATCTTTAAAGTGGTCTTTTTTTCCGTTAATATAATATACCAATTTGTGTATGGCCCTTTATTTGAATTTGTAACGTTACTAATCCAAATATCCAATAAGGTTATTTACATTGTGGTCCTTAAGGTTTAGAGTATGTTACTTATCTCCAGTGCTATGGGAAACAAATAATTTAGTCCTATCAGGAGAAACTTTTCAATAAAAAGTCTAGGCTGCGTTTGTTTGACATTTGGGAATACTACTTTTAGTATTCCCAAAAAAGTTAAACAGTAAAATACCCAAAATTTTAGATTTTTGGGAATACTACTCCCAAAATTATTCAATTTTTTAAATTTGATAATTTAATTAAATACCCCTAAATATTTGTTTTAAATTACAAAAACACCCCAATAATCCACATTTACCAGATTCCGGCAACCACCACCGGAAAATGGCCGGAATCTGGTAGAATGGCGCACTACCGGCTGAATCTGGCCGGCAGTGTGCCGATCTAGCCTTTTCCGGCCAGATCCACGGTAGATCTGGCCGGAAAAGGCCAGATCTAAGGCCAAAGATCTGGCCATTGACGGCCAGATCTTTGGCCGTAACACTCGGTCACGACGGCCTCGTCGTTGACCATCAACGACGACCGTTTGTTGGCCGTCGTTGAGAGCAAATACGGCCAGATCTGGCCGTTGACGGCCAGATCTGACCGTAGATCTGGCCTTTTCCGGCCAGATCCACCGTGGATCTGGCCGGAAAAGGCATAGCGATGCATGACCGGCAAGATCCAACGGTCATGCGCCCATACGGCGACTCGGCCACCTCCGGTGGTGGTCGCCTGCTGGGGGTGTTTGAGGGTGGGTTAGGGGTATTTTTGTTAACTTTTAATGTTTTATAAGGGGGTATTTTGTTAAAAAAACAAACATAAAGGAGATTTATTAATTTTATAATTTTACCTCGTAATACCCGCCCAATTAATTTTTTTTAACTTTTTTCAAAAAACTTTTCCCAAAACCCCCAAATTTGAAACCAAACGCAGCCCCAGTACTCCTGCTGTCTATTAGTTATTACATATACTGGAAATGAAAAAATATAAAAAAGTAAAAGTAACAGGGAAAATGTCAATCTAAAAATGTCAAATTTTCTAAGAGTAATGGTGATATCTAATATAATATGGACCATTTTTAGAACATATAAAACGTGGTTGATTTCACAATCATGAAAACGATAAAAGTCATTTGGTTCACTCATCACAAATATAATACGAAAACATGTCAAAGTTAAAACTCAAGTGAACAATATAAAAAATTTAAAACATCTAACTTTTTATTTTTTTATATATTTTATTAATTTCTAATAACATGTGAATAAGATAATAAAGTTTATAAAAGTTCATTAAGTTGTTCATATCTCATAGTACCGGAGGATAGGCCATATACACCAAACCTTAGGGCGAAGTACGAATAAACCAATCTAAAATGATTCATAAAACAACCATAGAAATAAGATGTAAAAATTAATAAATTTAAAAGCTATGATCATGTAAAAATAAAGGGGGTGAGGTTTTGTATTTAAATATGAAAAAATTGTCGTAAAGTGGACGATGAACACGTTTTTGTTTCGTATAAAATAAAAATCATTAATCAGTTGTTATTATTTAGTTTTAAAACTTTATTGTAGTTATAAGTTATAACAATGAAAACAAATCTCAACATCCTCAAAACAACTTTTTTTTCCTCTTTTAATAAAATAAAGACTTATTAAGAGCTAAATAACATAATGGGTGCGTTTGGTTTATTATTTTGGGTAGGATTTCGAGGATAGTTGGATAGTTGAATAGGAAAGTATACGAGATAAAATTTAAAAATTTATGAAAAACCCCAAGGTTTGCTAATGTAATAAAAAACCCAATATATAAATATTGTAAACGACAAAAAACACCCTAACACCCAAAGTGCCAGATTCCGACACCACTGCGAATCTGGCCGAAAATAGAAACCACAAAATCCGGTCGGATTGGCGAGCATTTGATCGATATGGCCTTTTCGGCATATCCACCACGGACGGATATGGCCGGAAAGGCTAGATCTAAGGTGCGTATGTGGCCTTCAACGACCGGAAAAGGCCACTTTGGCCGTCAGCGACGGCCAAAGTATATGGCGCGTTGTCTATCAACGATGACCAAGATGTGTGCATTGACAGTCAACGTCGACCATTTTTGGCAGTAACTGTGGCCAGATTTTGATCTGCCATTAAGAGCCATTTCCGATGGTCGTGGCTGTTTGTGTAGATTCCGGCTACCACTGGTGGTGGTTGCCGGAATCTGGCAAGTATTGTGGGTGGGGTGTTTCTGTGAGTTTTAAACTTATGGGGTCTAAAAGTAATTAAAAAATTGACTAATATTGGGAATAACGTGCCAAACAACATTTGAATAATAGGATGAGATATGGATAAAACACAATAGCCATGCCACCTTACTATTCTTTTGTCTCTTGATTTTTAATTTAGTGGGTTTTAAATATTGGGCTTTATATTTCCTTAAGTGGGTTTCAACCCAACTCATCACGAGTCCATCAAATAGAAGCCCAATCTTTTTTTTTTATTTTGCCCTTCCCCCCTTGCATAAATTAAAAATCATATATAACTACAAATAAACTCATAAAAATATTATAACCTAAACTAAGAATCATGTTATAAATCTTTCATCTCATGTTAGATTTCATTTCGTTATAAATATGATACTCTATATGTAGGATATTTCTCGTTGCGAATAACTGAATAACTGGTAAGACTTAATAACAAATTATAATTATTTTTTAGTAGTAAATGGAGAAAATAATTAATACTAGACAGTATATTATTAAATTATATATAGGTATAGCATGAATTTATATTGATGATTTAAGTGTATCAAAATAAAAGTTGACTAGGGATTTTGAATGTTCAAAAAACTAAAACAAAATTGGGGCCAATTTTTAATTGTCGAGCTATAACCAACCACTAAATATGGGCCCCCGCCGAAGAAGCTTCAAGTAATTAAAAAGGTCCCCCACTTAAAAGCAGGCCTTGTACCAATCAAACCCTACCCACATGAGCTGACAACTGTGAGTGCCCCCACCACTCTCTACCCAACCAACCAAATTAGAGTATGACAAATAAAGGTCAAAATGGTCATTTCCTGTAATTAATTAATAAAAACAAAGAATTATAGTGTGTTATTAATACAATAAAATTATTGATCAATAACGTTATTATTAAATTAAATTTAGTTAATGATTAGAAAACATAATAAATATGAAAAATAAGAGTAGGCACTAAAGGGAAGAATGACATAAGGTATGACATAGCACACACTTCCAATTCATATTGTTTGATTACAACTCAAGAAAAGATATTTTGATAAACTATACTTCTATAAACTCTATAAATGTGTTTGGTGCGTCTTGTTGAATCAGATATGACTGTTGATTAATTAGGATTGGGATTGAGATTGGATTAGATTTGATCGGTGTACTACTATGAAATTAGTGTCGTGCAACTGAAATAATTAATATTTGACTAGGCCAAACACAAGTAAAAAAAATTTAAATTATGCATAATATTTTTGTATTATTCAATATCGTGAAACAAATATACCATGTTTGAAGAAATCGTATGAAACAAAACTACATCGAACAAATGGAAGTAGGATAGAAGTGACGAGAATTAAAGCATGCTAGTCTACCTAGAATATTAAGCATGTTTTATATTTGAGAAAATAGATTGAATGATCATAATTCTTTCAATCTTAAGCACCTTAACCATTTTAAAAAACTATTAAATAATTTTTAGATGTATTTTCTAAGAGTGTTTTATAAATTTATTGATCGTTGAAGCGTATAAAACTTATTAATCTAGACAAAATTAACCCTCGACTTAGTATTCCTCAACAAATGCTTTTGATGATCAAAATTGAAGTTTGAAATGATGGATAAGAAACTTAAAAAGGTTTGTTGTAATCAAAATGGGAGACTAAGGGAAAATGATTGGAAATTTGGAATCTCCCTAAGCATAAAAGAAGATGAATAGCAATGTCTTGATCACTCAAATATGCCAACCCACTAATTCACCAAAAAGCTTTACTTTATAGAAACAAAAATGAAGAAATGGGGCAAAAAGGGCACTCAAAATTAAGATCCAATTTGGTAAAAACAAAATCCATTTTGTGGGCTTTCGTCTTTTACTCTTGAAAAAGATAAAGTGGGGCAAGCCTAATTTCTTCAAATAAAGCAAATCACTTCTCTCAATCTTCAATCAAATGATTAAATTTCATATAGACAAATTTGGTATCCCCCACAAGTTCCCCATGCTACTTAATGAGAAAACAACTGATAGCTTCCCTACTTTACTTCATGACACAAAAGTGTAAGGTTGAGCTCAATCCTCAATCTCCCTCTCTCTCTCTCTCTCTCAACAACATAAACTTATCTGAAGTTGATTGAACTTACAACTCAGGAATTAAACACATGTTTAGTACTAAAATGGAATTGTTAAATCGATAGATTTTTATTCAACACTCTTAACAATTCTGGGTTCTGGTTTCTGGCGCTGGTTCTGATAAATCGATAAAATAATCCATCTATAAACTCTACTTAGATATGCAAATTACTATACAAATTACTGCTTCTAGTTAGCAGCCTTTCTTTTTATCTCTTCACACCTACATAAAATAATATCTTCTTCATTTTCGGTGAAGAGAAGAACCTCTGCATCTTTGCCTTTTCATCCTCTTTTGACATTTCTTTTGTTTTATGGCTGCTGCGGCTTGCTCAAACACGTACACCTTGCACGTTTGTCAGAAAGTGCCTGAAAAATTAATGGAAAAATATCAGATAAACCTTGCTTGTTGAGAAAGCTTTCTGGGTTTTGACTTTAGATGACGATTTAAATTTTAATAGACATACCTTCACTTGAGATTGAAGCTCTTTCACGTAATCTACAGCCAAGTCTAGCATGTCTGCTGTGTTTGTTTGCTGCAAATTTAGAAGCAAGATTAGTCTCTGGATAAACTAACTTCGACGGGAATTCTAGTTCGCATAATAAATTGATTAAGTGTACCTTGTCCATGTTGGGTACAAGATCTTGAAGTTTCCTCATGCGTTCGCTTATTTTGGTTCTTCTAACCTGTAAATAATGCAGATGAAATAAACATGAGTTCATTTATGGAGTAAATGGGATGGCTGAGAACAACCCAGATTGCAAAAATGGTGAAATTATGTATTGTACCCTCTCAGCAATGCTTCTGGGATGAGTTGCACAACCCCGCTTGGCTCGAATCTTGCACGGCACAGAATCCTGGATCTGTAAAAGCTTCTCGATTGATGTCAGATCTTTTGGTAAACTCAAGTGATGAGCCAGAAGTGGAGGAGGGCGATTTCCGGTGTCCAAATTCTGCACAAGAAATAGTAGATCAAATTCTGATCATACACTTGCGCAATCTCAAAGAATAAAATTTTTTACCTCAGTGTCAGCTTCACTAAATCCAGAAAGAGTCCTGTCTTCATCTCTAAGTCTCTTCACTCCACTGAGATTTTCTGAAATCATCGAAGATTCGTCCCAGGAATCGATGCCGAAACCGGTTGAGTAAGTGTTGCCAGGCCTCTGATCGAAACTCTCATTGTTGCCTGAATTTCCCATTTCAGCTATTGGACTCATTGGCCCGGAAGCAACCGGTGGCCTGCCTGCAGAAGAAAATGATGCTTCTCTATTTGCGCTATTTCCGCCGCCATAGTCTCCCATGCCTTGCATCACAACATAGCCTGCCATTTTTACCAAGAATTATAAAGCAAAAAACTGTAAATTGCTATAATAAGTATCAAAAGCAAGAATTAGAAATAAAAATTTTAAACTGCAATAAGAAACAGCTTCATTTATTGCTTATAATTTTTGCTTTTCATCAGAAACTCCAAAAATACAAAAATTTTCTTGTATTTCTATTTTTGTTTCCAAGAAACCAAACAAAGAAATCGAGGTTGAACATACCTTTTTCGATTTTAATAGTGTTGAAAAGCCCTGCAGGAGAGCTGCTATGGCGGATGAGATTTGAACTATTTCCACTGCCACTCGGCTTCATCGGCGGCGGAAAACGATCCACCCCAACTGAATTCATCGCTCTATAGCCCATTTCAGAGCCTGAAGAATTCTGATTCTGCACGTTCTGTTGAGGCTGGCTCGGATAAAAACTCTGAGAAACAGAGGAAAAATTTCTCTGTTGATTATTTAATGGATGAAGACTAGTCTGTTGATTATTTAATGGAAGAAGACTACTCTGTCTCGGCTGTGGAGGCTCCACTATCTTCTCCGTCACTGGCAACTGTTGCTGGGTGATTCCCGGACTTTGTTCTGATGAATTTGTCAAAATTTTTGCGAAAATTCGTTCGGTTTCAGGGCTTGAGCTCTTCAAGAAGTCTTCACAGAATTCTCTGTCCAAATCTCTCTCTAAGAAACTTGAGAAGTATGTGCTTGGAGCTGATTGGTAACGTGTCAAGCTCGAGTTCAGCTGTCGCTGGTGATCATGGCGATGGTGGTGGTGCTGTTGAAGATCTGACTCCATTTCTTCTTGTTTAGGTTGTTTAACTCAGATCAAACTTTAGAATACCATTGAAGTAAGCTGAAAACAGAGAGAAACAAATGAAGAAAACAGAGAGAAAGTGAGTAAAAAAGTTGAGATTTTGATAACCACTAAAGGATTTAGAATCAAATCTGGAAACAACAACCCACTTCCATAATCTTGAATCTGATCTGAATCACTCAACTCAAGAAGATAACAAGAACAACAAAAATTAGCCACTCAAAAGCAGGAATATTATCATATAAAAAAAAAAATTAAAAATAACAGAACAATAACATGAACCCAACAAAGCAGCAAGGAAGGAAGAAGGAAACTTACTCACTCCCTCTCCCTCTCCACTATCTAAATGATCACTTTCTTTTTTTTTTTTCAGTACTTCTGATGGAAGTGTTTTTGTTGAAGCTGATGGTGTTGTTGTTGTTGCCAGAGACTGAACAGAGAGAAAGTGAAATGAAAAAAGCGCAAAGAGAAATTACAGAAAATATTTGTATGATGTGTACAGGAGGTGAGATGTAATAGGAACCAGAAATATGATAATTTATTTATTTTATTTTCTTAGTTTTTGGACTTGAATGCCCATCACATTCTAGATACTATTTTCGTAACGCTATCAAATCAAATACCAACAGTTAGATTCACTTGTATTAAAATCTAGGAAGGCAATTCAAGTCATTCCATGTTTTTATTTGTATGATAATATTCTCGGACTTTTTTTTGTGGGCGTCAACATTTTTTCTTAAAATTACACTTCAATTTTCCCAAATTGGCAAGAATTAAGTCCATTAACCACTTTTAACTCGTTGAGTGGTTGGACAACGAATCTTGAATCTATTATTTAAGAGATTCTGAAATTGAGTTATCTCGGATAATGCATATAAATTAGTTTAAACATTCATGATCATAAAAATTAGAAAAAAAAAAAAATTAAGTCAACTAAAGTCAATAGGATGATATAAATCTTGTAATTACTTAGTCTTGGATTAAAATATATAAGGACCATTATCAGACTTTTTAGTAACAATTAATTTTATTTTGCAAGCAAGAATTTAAGTTGAGCTAACGTCATACCGTGTTACATGATTTGAACCTCGTAACGCTATTAAAATCAGTATAAAAAATTGCATGACTTAGATTATGAACACATGGAGGTAATAGATTTTTTTTTTTCCCCGAAATATAGACTTAAACTCTCGCTAATAAAAATTAAATGGCTGGCATTGCAAGGGACGTCACTGTACATACGCATGAATTGGATGATTGCGAGGGCATGAAACACGATTTAATTAATTTTATCTTTGAAACTAAGCCAAGATGACTTAATGAATGGGGCACTCAAGGTGTCGAAATGTCTATTCTACCCCTCCTGCCTTGAATAGACGAAATTAATGTGACTCTAACAGTAGGACAACAAAACCCAAGATAGGCCCATATAACCAAACCTTACGGGCGCAAGTAGAATAAACCAATCTAAAAGATTTTCATAAAACAAACCTAGAAATAAGAGTAAAATTAATAAATTTAAAAGCTATGATCATGTAAAAATAAAGGGGGGAGGTTTTGGTATTTAAGATATGACAAAAAAAAATTGTCGTAAAGGGACGATGAACACGTTTTTGTTTCGTATAAAATAAAAATCATTAAGTCAGTATGTTATTATTTAGTTTTAAAACTTTATTGTAGTAAAGTTATAACAATGAAAAACAAATCTCACATCCTCAAAACAACTTTTTTTTCTCTTTTACATAAATAAAGGACTTATTTAAGAGCTAACTAACATAATGGGTGCGTTTGGTTTATTATTTGGGTAGGATTTCGAGGATAGTCTGGATAGTTGAATAGAAAGTATACGACGATAAAATTTAAAAATTTATGAAAAACCCCAAGGTTTGCTAATGTAAATAAAAAAACCCAATATATTAAAATATTGTAAAACGACAAAAAACACCCTAACACCCAAAGTGCAAGATTCCGAACACCATGCGAATCTGGCCGAAAATGAGAGAACCACAAAATCCAGGTCGGATATGGCGAGCATTTGATCGATATGGCCGTTTTCGGCATATCCACCACGGACGGATATGGCCGGAAAAGGCTAGACTCTAAGGTGGATGTGGCCTTCAACGACCGGAAAAGGCCAACTTGGCCGTCAGCGACGGCCAAAGCTAATGGCAGCGTTGCTACAACGAGACCAAGATGTGGTGCATTGACAGTCACGTCGGACCATTCTTGGCAGTAATGCTGGCCAGATTTTGATCTGGCATTAAGAGCCATTTCCGATGGTAGTGAGACTGTTTGTGATAGATTCCGGGCTACCACCTGGTGGTGGTTGCCGGAATCTGGCAAGTATTGGGGTGGGGGGGGGTTGGTTTTTTTTGTTTCTGTGAGTTTTAACACTTATGGGTCTTAAAAGTACCATTAAAAAATGACTAATAGTGTGGGAATAACGTGCCAAACAACATTTGAATAATAGGATGAGATATGGATAAAAACAATAGCCATGCCACCTTACTATTCTTGTTCTTTGATTTTAATTAGGGGTTGAAAATTTGGGCTAAAAGTAATGGGTTTTCACCTAAAACCATCCACGAGTCCATCAATAGAGCCCAATCTTTTTTTTTAATTTGGCCCTTTCCCCTCCTAATATTTGCAGAAATTAAAAATTATATATAAGATATAACTACAAATCAACTCTAAAAATTATACCTAAACTAAGAATCATGGTTAAATATTCATCCTGTTAGAGTTCATTTCGTTAGAACTAGATTACTACTCTGCGTAGGATATTTCAAAGTTGCGCATAACTGAATAACTGGTAAGACGAATACAAATTATAATTATTTTAGTAGTAAATGGAGCAAAATAATTATACTAGACAGTATATTATTAAATTATATATAGGTATAGCATGGAAGTTATATTGATGATTTAGTGTATCATAAATTAAAGTGACTGCGATTGGGAATGTCACAAAAAAACTAAACCACAAAATGGGGCCAATTTTAATTGTCGAGCTATAACCAACCACTAAATATGGGCCCCCGCGAAGAAGCTGCAAGTAACTTACAAAGGTCCCCGCTTAAAAGCAGGCCTTGTACCAATCAAACTACCACATGAGAGGACAACTGTGAGGCCCCCACCACTCTCTACCCAACAAACCAAATAGAGTATGACAATAAAGGTCAAATGGTCGAATTTCCTCGAATTAATTAATAAAACAAAGAATATAGTGTGTTATTAATACAATAAATATTGATCAATAAGTTATTATTAAATTAAATTTAGTTAATGATTAGAAAAACATAATAACTATGAAAAATAAGAGATGGCACTAAAGGGAAGAATGACATAGGTATGACATAGACACCCAATTCCCATTCAATTGCTTGATTACAATGATGAAAAGTATTTTGTAAACTAGACTCTATAAACTCTATAAGTGTGTTTGGTGCGTTTTGTTGACTCGATAGACTATAGATGAATTAGGGATGGGGATTGAGATTGGGATTAGATTTGATCGGTGTAATTACTATGAAATTAGTGTGTGCAACTGAAATAATTAATACTTGACTAGGTCAAATACAGTCAAATAAATTAAATTATGTATAAGATTTTTTGTATTATTCAATATCATGAAACAAATACACCCTGTTGAGAAAACCGTGGGAAAAAACAACTACATAGAACAAGGAGTGGATAGAAGTGACGAAGAATTAAAGCATGCCTAGTATACCTAGAATATACGCATGTTTAATATATGAGAAAATAGATGAAGGATCATAATTCTTTCACAATCTTAAGAACCTTACCATTTTAAAAAACTATTAATAATTTTTTAGATTGTAGTTTCTAAGAGTGTTTATAATTTATTGAATCGTTTGAAGCGTATAAAAACTTTTATATCTAGACAAAATTAACAATCGCCTTAGTATTCATCAACAAATGCTTTTGCTGATCAAAATTGAAGTTTGAAATGATGAATGGATAAAGAAACTTAAAAAGGTTGTTGTAATCCAAAATGGGGACTAAGGGAAATGATTGGAAATTTGGAATTCTCCATAAGCATAAAAGAAGATGAATAGCAATGTCTGATCACTCAAATAGCCAACCACTAATTCACAAAAACTTACTTTATAGAAACAAAAAGGAAGAATGGGGCAAAAAAGGGGCACCTGACAAAAATTAAGATCAATTGGTAAAAACAAAATCCATTTTGTGGGCTTTCGTCTTTTACTCTTGAAAAAATAAAGTGGGGCAAGCCTCATGTCTTAAAATAAAGCAAATCACGTCTTCATCTTCAATCAAATGATTAATGTCATATAGACAAATTTGGTATCCCCAACAAGTTCCCATGCTACTTAATAGAAACAACTGATAGCTCCCTACTTTACTTCATGACACAACAAGTGTAAGGTGAGCTCAATCTCAATCTCCCTCTCGCTCTCTCTCTCTCAACAAACATAAACTTATCTGAAGTTGATTGAAACTTACAACTTCAGGAAATTAAACACATGTTTAGACGAAAAATGGAATTGTTAAATCGATGATTTTATTCCAACACCTTAACAATTCTGGGTTCTGGTTTCTGGGCGCTGTGTTCTGATAATACGATAAAATAATCCATCTCATAAACTCTACTTAGATATGCAAATACTATACAAATTACTGCTGACTAGTTAGCGCCTGTCTTTTATTCTCTTCACACTACATAAAATAATATCGTCTTCATTTTCCGGTTGAAGAGAAAAGAACCTCTGCCTATCTTTGCTTCATCCTCTTTTGACAGTTCTTTTGTTTGTATGGCTGATGCGGCTTGATAAAACACTTACACTTGGCACGTTTGTCCAGAAAGTGCCCTGAAAAATTAATGGAAAAATTTAAATAAACATGGCGTGTTGAGAAAGCGTTCTGGGTTTGACTTTAGATCGACGTTTAATTTTATGACATACATTCACTTGGATTGGTAAGCTCTTGTGCAGCGTAATCTACAAAGCCAAGTCTAGCATGTCTGCGGGTTTGTTGGCTGCCAAATTTAGAAGCAAGATTAGTAGTCTGGATAAACTAACTGCGACGGGAATTCTAGTTTTGCATAATAAATTGAGTTAGTGTACCTTGCCATGTTGGGTACAAGATCTTGAAGTTTCTCATGCGCGTTCGCTTTTTGGTTTTCTAACTGAATAATGCAGATGAAATAAACATGGAGTTCATTATGGGTAACTGGATGGCTGAGAACAAACTAGAATGCAAAAATGGTGAAATATGTAGTGTACCCTCTCAGCAATGTTCTCGGATGAGTTGCACACCCAGCTTGGCTCGAATCTTGCACGCACAGAATCCTGGTCTGTAAAGCTTCTCGATTGATGTAAGGATCTTTTGGCAAACTCAAGTGATGAGGCAAGAAGTGAGGAGGGAGAGTCCGGTGTCCAAATCTGAACCAAGAAAAAGTAGATCAAAATTATGATCTACACTTGCACAATCTCAAAGAATACATTTTACCTCAGTGTAGATTCA